CTTTTTAAAATTATTTTCTTTCTTTTGGAAAATCAGGACTTTTTGAACACGCTGCGGGGCACGGGACAAATCATTAAAAATCGTGATTGTCCCGCTGAAAGTGGGACGACTGGTCACCTTAGACTAAATGGCAAAAGCACATGGAACGCTGTTTCTTTCCCACCAAAAGTGGTTCATATTTTTCTACTTGCATTTTTTTAACATGCTTTCGAACTGCTTGATTGGCAGAAGCTGGGACAAGTAATGGGAACTCACTCCGCTATGTGGCACTAGGGATTCGAACCGCTGTACTGCCGACTTTTCTGATTGACAAGCTCAGCGTCTTAACCACTGACCCACCGCAACCCTTTGAGCCTTTCAGTAGATAGGTAGGTACTTGCAATAGGTAGGTATAAATTTGTAAAATTAATTTCTCATCAGTTCCTGTTAAAATCTGGTCCAATTCTGTTGGTTCTTTATAAAAACCATATATTTTAGCATCTTTTTCATATCTTGATTGTATTACCTGCAGAGAGATGGCTCCTTCTTTATCATTCCTCCTGAGGTATGGTTACTCCCATCAGGTTGCTTCTTTGAAAGACCCTAAAATTGTGGCTATGTTATTGTGTCCAGGGATCACATCGCAAGCAGAGGTGCAGTGGCTAATTTGATTGCCATTGCTTCCTTAGGAGGGAGTGAATATTTTTAAAAATGTTATAGCCACCTGGAGTCACCTATGTATAGGTTGGGCGGCAATATACATTTGTTTAAGAAATAAATAAATACAAGCTGTGTGCAAACACAATTGTAGTGTATTAACCCAGTTTTGTGACTTTCATGGGGGGATCCTTTCTGCATGTTTCTTCCGTGATAGCAAATATTCTGGCTCCAGATGCAAGGGGGCGCATTGAATTGAAACGTTCAGTGACTTTCAGCACCTTTTGCTCAATACCACCATGTCTTCCTGACCTGACCTTGGGAAGCTAAAATTTAAGCTAAGCTCTTCAAAGAATTGCTGCATGCACAGAATGGGAGAAGAGAGGGCATCAATATGCAACTTGTTCTTGTAGGGAATCGGGGTCTTGGGAGCCTCCTTATATCCTGTGGTCACAATTTGGAGGGCCTCACAGAAAAATGCAGGTGCCATTGCAAAATGCCATCATTATTTCTGCTTTTTTTTTCGTAAGCTGCCCAGCGGCGCAGTGTTGGAGCTGAGCAGCCGTGCATATTTCTTAAATAAATGCAATCGTAATCATGCTGTCCAAATCCTACTATTTATTTAGCAAACGGTAGAGCAAGTCAGCAAAGATATAGTAGCGCCAAGAGATCATTGAATCTAAGTCTGAAAAAAATATCTGTGAATATTTGCAGTCTAGGCCTGAGTGATTCCATTCACACATCATCCTAAGTTTTGGTTTATTTCCATTGTATTCTTCATAAATGAAGGCAAATATACACCTCCCAGGATAATGTTGCAGGATCCAATCTGGATTGGTCAATAGGACTAGAGGTTTAGTCTTCCGAGCTTTGGACTCATGAATAGAATAGAATAACAGAGTTGGAAGGGACGTTGGAGGTCTTCTAGTCCAGTGTTTTTCAACCTTGGCAACGTGAAGATGTCTGGACTTCAACTCCCAGAATTCCCCAGCCAGCTGGCTGGGGAATTCTGGGAGTTGAAGTCCAGACATCTT